CCCCAAAACCCCAAAACCCCAAAACCCCAAAACCCCAAAGACAGCTGGAGACAGTTACGAGCATAATAAATTATTAAAGAAATAGCTGGGTCTGAATTTGTTAAAAGAATTAACAAGATGAGAGAGAACACGAAGCTCCTCACAATATAATACTTAAACTAGGCAGTTTAAGATGTGACTTAATCCTTTAAGGACTGATTTATGCGAATGTGCTCAGTAGATAACGCTGAGTTTCTTTTGAATCTTTTCAAAAGCGTCTCCTACTATCTCTGAGATGTCATCTTGTTCCTTCTTTGCTTTGAGTTTCTCGTGCTTCTCCTTGACTTCCTTCATCTTCTCCTTGAATCTGAACTTCTTGCCCTCGGTCTCAATGCCCAGGCAGGTAATCAAAGTGGCGTCATCAAGTTCAAAGAAAACATCTGGGTCAGCAATTTCAGCTTCCTTCATCTTAGCAATGCATTCTGTCAAGCTGATTGACTTAAGCATGGCCTCGATGTTTTCTTGAGGGAAGTCCTTCTTCTTTTTCTTCTCTTCTTCCTCCTTCTTGTCGTCCTTCTCATCCTCGTCCTTGATCTTGCCTTGCTTGACAAGTTGGTTTTGAATAATCTTGTTTCTGAGCTTCTTCTTGATGACTTCGAAGTTTTTGTTCTCGTCAAGGATGTCTCTCAGTTACCAACCAGTGATCTGCTCATCGCCTATTATTGTGAGTAGTTCCTCGATGTCGGCTTCGCTTGTCAAGAAGGCGTGAAGAACAGTTCTGGCTTGAGACTGAGTCTAGAGGGCAAAGAGGATCTTGCAGTCCTCATCGCCACTGATCATCCCCATGATTCTCTTTCTATCGATCATAGCCGTCATTCCGTAGGCTGTTAAATCTCCCTCTCCAATGTACTTCAAGTCTGATACACGCTTAATTCCACTCTCCTTTCTGAATTTTGGAGCATACTGAAGCATGTTCAATCTTCTTAGCCACTCGCTAATGCTCATATCTTTGATTTGATAGTCAACATCAAGAAGTGACTTTGCATTTTCAATAGCACCTTGGATATCACTCTTGTACTTCAGGAAGTGACCTTGCAATTTAGCCATGTTCAATTTGTACTCTGGAAGTTAATTGGCGAATTCTTGAGCTTTCTCCTCTGCCTCATCTGGGAAGAACTTTTGGAAAAGTCCTTTCATTTGTTTCTCACTGGCATAGTTAAGTTCAACATGAACATCAGCTCTACCTGGTCTGAGAAGGGCAGGGTCTAGCTTTTCTCTGTGGTTAGTTGTCATCATAAGAATTCTACCCTCTTGAGATCTCACACCATCTAATGCGTTTAATAGTCCTGAAAATGTAACTTATTGTCTCTCCATCATCTTGCCCTAAACAGAAGTTCTGTCCACGAAGATAGCATCGATATCCTCGAGAAGGATGATAGATCTCAGTGGTGAATTGTTCAAGAGAGTGTTCAAACCGTCATCGTCCATGTTTCCTCCTGATAAGTTCAGGTAGCAAATGTTCAAGTTGCAAGCACCAGCTACTGCCTGGACGAATGAGGTCTTACCAGTTCCTGGTGGGCCATACAAAAGATATCCTCTTCTATAGGGAACACCCTTGCTTTGATACCACTCACCGCTGCCGAGGAACTTATTGATGTCTTGAATGATGTTATCAGCGATTCCTGAGTCTAGGACAACACTGTTCAAAGCTCTGGGTCTCTTTTATTAGCATTTCTCCCAAGAACCCCCCCATCTGTGCACTTAATAGATATTTACCAATGAAGTATCTTTCTCTTATGAGACATTGATAGCATCTTCAACGAGTTGTCTGAGTGGAGCTGTGTCAGTACCGTAGCACATGATGTAGAGAAGCTCTTGCTTGGTTGGCTTTTTCTCCCAACCAGTCATAAGAGTTTCACCTTCGCTCTATACAGCCCACATCTTTTTTCCATTGTAGGTAAAAAAGTGATTTCCTGGTCCTGGAAGATACTCAACTTCTGGCTTCTGGTTTTCCTCCTTAGATCTGTTCCACCACCAAGTCCAGCCTTTCTTCTTAAGTTGGCATTTCAGCTGAGTCATTGAAGAAGATAAGAGCCCCTTGCTGCTCAAGTAATCAAGAATAATCTTGTAAATATCATCATTGCTGGAGATTGTGATTGAGCAAGTCAGTTTTCTTCTGATTTGCTCATAAACATAGTTGAAGGCCATATAAATGATAGACATGACAAATCCACTGAAAGACATGTAGATCAGAGTGTAAGTCATTTGCATGAACTGCTCGTCTTGCTTCTCTTAAGGACTAAGGGTAGACCCGCTACCATCGATAGTAGTGAATGATGGGTTTTCCATTTTTACTTATTTGCTTAAAACTATAACTCCGCTTAGAATATATACCAATAGATTCTGAATTCAAGAAATTCATCTATTTTTTGATAACCTTCAATACTTTCTTAGCTCGCTATCGATTAGGGGTTTTGGGGTTTTGGGGAAGTTTTCAATTGTCATAGCTAAGAG